TTTTAAAAATTTATTTAGCTTGATTACAAAGTTGATGAAAAAAAATTAAAAGAGGTATTTAAACTTGCTGGACGAGTATTAGAAGTTGAAATATTTTCAGATAAAGAAGGAAAAAGTAAAGGATATGGAGTAGTTGAATATAATCATCCAGTTGAAGCTGTTCAAGCTATTTGTATCCTTTGATAATTTTTAGGATTAAACTTTTTAAATTTATTGATTATTTATTTCAATATTTCTTAACAATTACTGATAGCTATGTTCAACAATCAATTTTTGTTTGATCGTCCAATGTCTATACGTCTTGATCGTACAGATAAAGACCCATTAGCAAGACTTCCTGAAGGGTTAAAATCAATAGGAATGGGTTTAGGTGCAGGCGGAGCACCATTGCATGATGTTGAAAGTATGTTATGATAAGATTTAAATTATAAGAAACTATTATTTTTAGTAAAAAAAAAATTCCTAGAGGTTAGGTAAAAATATTAATAATAAATATAAACTAAATTAATAATGTGTTATAAAAAGCAAATTTAAAAAAAAAAAGTGCATAATATATATATATATATATATAAATTTAAAAAAAAAAAGTGCATAATATATATATATATATATATTATACATATATTTATAAATTATTAAAATCATTTTAATTGAAAAAGTTTTATTCTTTTTATTTTTGGGAAAGAAAGTTCTATATCATTATGACCTAATTGACTAGATAATTCATTATAATAAAATGTTACTAAGTTTTTTCAATCTCAAATTCATACAAAAATTAAATATAGTAAAATCTTAATAACTTGAATTGGTTGGAAGCGAATAAAAATTTGATTTACACAAATATCATGTATAGTAAGGCCAAGGCGTCAAGGCTTTCCTTCGAGTTATCGAAAATTTGACTTATAGAGGTTTGATTTATCGAGGTTCCATTGTAATATATTTGAAAATGTATTTAAGTCAAAGTTAATCTTAAAATATTTATTTATCTAATGTATAGTAATTTAAAAGTATTTATGATTTCATAAATGAAAAAAGTTAGGTTAAAAAAAAAAAGGTTGGTTACTGGTTAGACATCATTATTTACCTATTATTCTATTATCGGTTCAGAGTATCATTTTGAAAAAAATTTAACTATTTATTTTTTTATTTTTTATTTTTTGAATATAGGAAATCTTCCATCAAATAATACTTCATCTAATCAATCTCAGTCGTTATCTTCTCCAGTGAATACATCTGCTTTGGCTGTATTAAGTGGATTAAGTGCTGATAGATTAGGCATTGAGACCCAGAATAGACGTTCTCGTAAGTCATTTAAAACAACTTTAATTTATATGTTTTAAAAATATACTTTGGTTTTATTAAGTTGGGGGAGTTAACGGACTTGGAAACTTAAATGCTAGTGATCTAGGCATTGGAACAAGTCTTGGGGCTGCTTTTGGATCTGGTATGAATACTAGTGGAGCTGGATCGATGAATAGTTCATCACTGCATCAAAGTAATTTTTTATAATTATATATAATTTATGTTTTATTTTTTTATTTTTAGTAAAATGCAATTAATACAGTTTCATCATATTTATTAAATATATAGTTATTTACTATTCAGGTTAATTATTATATCATTATGACATAATATTGCCAATGTAATATATAAATGTGTATAATTTGGTTATAATATTACAGACTCACTAGGTGGTCGTGATTATGAATCTTTATCACTTGGTGTGAGAAATTCAAGCAGTGGTGGTGGCGCTTTTGCTGCAGACTTTAGATCTGGATTGGGTAATTATTTATTCATAGAACTTATAAGTCTTATTCAAAGTTTTTCTTAGAAATTTATTCCATCATTAATTAATCAAATTCATAAATATTTTTTACAGGTGGAGGTGATATGCATATGGGTATGGGTCCTAAAAAATCTGATACAATCATGGTAAAGAATTTACCATCAAATACAACATGGCAAAGCTTAAAGGATTACTTCCGGGACTGTGGAGACATTAAATTTTCTGAGGTTGGAAGTAAGGGATTTGGAATTATTAGATTTGCATCTGAATGGGATGCTGAAAGGGCAATAAGTATCCTTTTTATTAAAATTATTTATTTTAAACAATCTAGATGAAAATTATTTTGGTATTTTAGTTATAAATTTATAAAATTCTGTAAGTTTTTTTATTATGAGAGATAAAAATAATATTTTTAGTGGTGGGTTGATCTAAAAAATATGGTCTCGGACCTAATTCTTTCCATGTAGATTTGTAAACAATACAAAATCATAATAATTATATATTAGTTAACTTTAGTCTTTATTATATATTGTAAAGCATAAATAATTCAATAGCAAAAAATAATCATTGTCTTGACAAAAATAAGGAATTATTATTTTTGTTTTATTATTATTATTAATAACTAATAATAGCGTTAATGCAATTAGAATGAATATTTAATTCAACTCTGCACATTATAAATAACAAACATGCATAAATAGGTATGTACTTTTTGTCAATAAATTAAACAAAATCAAAATTTAAAAATAACATCATAAAAATTTCTTATTTGCAACATTTAACTAGTTTAAATTTTTTTTGGATATATTACTTTTAACAAACCATTTTGGAGTTAGTTATATAACTTGAACTTTTTGTACGAGTTGGTGTAATTCTAGTCTTTTAAATAACACCTAAAATTCAGTTTGATTTTTTGAACTTAAAACTTAATTTAGTTTTTCATTTATGCTATTAAGAGAATTCATAATTTATGAACAATAATTTTAGAAATAATATACTATTCCTACTAAACAGTATGTAACATATAATCCTGATTTGTAAAAAAAGGAGAAATATCAAAATTACATTTGTTTAATGACAAAAAGTTGTTTATACATATAAGTTAAATATGTATATCAATAGAATTAATGTCTAGTATTTATAATATAATATGCTTGTTTATTTTAAGAATAATGAATAATACGTTTTTCCTTAACCATAGAATTTTCAGCTTTAAAAAATATGTCAAGATTTGATGGTCATCTAATTGAAGTAGTATATTTCTAACAAAGTGTAAGTAACAATTATTATAATTCAAAAATAATACATAATTTAAAAAAAAAAAACATACTAGTGTAATACTTTATGTATGTAGACCAGTTTAATTCAATATTTATTGTAACATAATTATTGCCTTTTTTTGTCAGTTACTGAAATTTTAGGCTTAAAACATTTTTCCAATAGGCTAATGACTGTGTGTGTTTTGTTTTAGACTTCAGTACTGTTTAAAAATAACTTTTGGATATTATAAGACATTTTATTCTTGGTCTATTTTTATAATTTTGATTTTACTATGTCTATGAGTCATACCTTCTTTTTCCGATTTCAAGAATTGAGAATAAAATTGAATTAGTTTGTACAATTGTCTTTTTTTTTAATAGTTTGTATTCTTAGTGGTGTGTGAGAATAAATGACAAGATCAGATTTATGAAATTTTAATTGGTTTGTTATTTTTATGTTTTGAATTTGTTTTCCTCAACCTGTTTGTTATATACCTAATTTACATGTCTCACTTTGGCATTGCATATTTATTTATTTTAATACATTTGATGGTACTTGATGTATATGATTCTATGCTTGATATTAGAAACATGTTATTATTATTCAAAATCTATAATTTAAAATATCTTTGAATACAACTAAATGATTTTGCTTAAATATATAATATTGAAACATTATATTAAATGTGTTGATTTAAAAGAATATAGGTTTAGTTTGTTCCTTGGTTGTTTCCTATCATATCAACTCTTAATGAACTTTTCCTATTACATAAAAGTATTATTTTTTATAATGTAAAATTAAATTTTATATTAAATTCATAATTCAGATGAGTTGAAGTATATAACATGTTTAATCATTTAATAATGTAATAAAAAAAAAAACAAGTTTTTAGAATATATTATAATTTCTATAATTATGTATAAAACAGCACCCTATTCAATTATATTATGTATATAGTAACAAAAAAAAAAAATAAGTAATAAAATAATGTAATATAGATAGTATACCTCTATTGAATTGGTTCTTAAACTACTTAAAATTTGATTTTTATAAAATACATTTTAAAGTTAGATATTATATAATAGGGTTTTTGATTTTCAACAAAGCACAAAGTTAGTGTTTACTCAGGAATAGTTAAAAATTCACACATGGAAGCTAAGTCTATACATTTCTTAAAAATATATCTTAAAGTTTGATCTGTTAATGTAAAAGTATCATATGTGATTATATTTGTTTTACCGTATCACCATGATTTATTATTGGAGGTTTGTCTCTTTTGTGTTTTTTAACGATAAATTAGTTTATCCATTAAAACATTTATATGAATACAATATATTTGTATATTTTTGTTTACTTTTAGATAATTGTTTTGTTTTGTATTTGGAACATCCATGGTTATTGATGTGACCTTATTTCCCAGTCATTGTAAAATGAGTAATTTATTATTTATGATCACATATTCAATACTTCATACTATTTGTTAATAGTATTTTTGTTTAGAAATAAGGTGTGTTTGAACTAAAAAAAAAGGAGTTTTTCATAGAAAAAATAGTTTGTTTTGATTTGTATTCACCCTTTTAATAATAATGTATTATGCTATTGAAGTATAAAATCATTATTAACAGAAATATAAATGTATGTATTATTTATTGATTATATTATTTAAACAAAAATTAATTTTATGTTTAAAGTATTCTTTTTTTGGTAGAATTAAGTGAATTCAAAAATTGGAGCTTTGCTAATTCAATGTTGTTGTATTACTTTAAATTTAATAATGATTCGTCTACTATGGTTGATTCTGAGTGATGCTCATGCTCGATCATTGAATTTTAATTTTCTAATAGAATTCAGTTATTTTTTTATATTAGGCCTTCTTTCACTGTCCTCTAGTTGTATTTTACTTTTTTGGAGTTTGAAACAAGTAAGTTATTATATTATTATTATTTTTTTTTTTTGTCTCACGGTTTATTTACGTTTATATGTGTATAAATAAGTTTATTTTCAGAGCGATTTTATTGAAGACTTATTGACAACAATTAAAACCATTTTGACAACTCTCAGTTTAATGTTGTATTTTTTGTCTTGTGCTTACAATAGACATAACATACGTTGTTGTTATATAAAATGTTTGGATGTTTTGTCCTACAACAAAAATACATGTTTAAAAATGTCGTCTGTATTTATCATAAGTGGTATGCATTTGTTTTGGTTGGTTGTGTTTTTTGTCAACTCAATAACGACCCAAGAGCCTGCCATCAATCTAGTGCTTTATGCTCAAGATTTTGTCTGTTTCATGTTTGAAATGCAGTTTTATGTGATCTTATTGCTGGTGAAATCATCACTTGAAATGGTCACTCATAGGATATCCAACTTTTTTCATATGATCAAGGTAGAACAATTTTAATCACAGATAATTTATTTGTTAGTTGCACATGATTTGTTTGTTAACTGTTGAATTAAGTTGTTAATTGAGGAAGATTCATAACAATTCTAAAGATATAAAAGAATTATGCTGAAAAGTAATCTAATTAATCAAAATCAGTTATATGAATATTGTTTTTTATTGTTGTTATTAGATTTTGATTTTTATTAGAAAAAATAAAGGAACCGGCATTTTCCCATAAATTGAAATGTGAATCTTGAACTCGGTTTCTTCTGTATTTGTGATACAATTCATGATAATTATAAATAAATATTGTTAATACTAACAGTTCAATTATACATATTACTGACAAAGATCTAATTTTACAGAACTGATACTTCAATCTGATTTAACTTGAAGTTTACTTTTTTTTCTTGGATCACATCTTAAACATTCCTATTAAGTTATTGACATAAACTATTTAATCATCACTTATGTGTTATACCATTGAAAATACAATTTTAGAATATAGAATGTTTTATTTTTTACACACAGGAAAACAAAATTGATACAAAACTTATTTTGCCAGATTACTTTGCAAATTGTTTAGAAGATACTAGATTGTTACATATGGAGATATTTGACATAATGGTAAATGTTAATATAATATATGGCCTTAATACATTAACCATAATTATGCAATCAAGAATTTTGCTAGCCATAAACTTGTATTCATACATAACAAGTTTTTCAGTAATTGATTTTGTAGAGTGTATGGCAACATTTCAAAGAGTTGCATTACTATGTTATTGCTGTGAACTGATCAAACGAAATGTTAGTTCTAAATTTTTGTTTTGATCAAATCGTATGATTACATAAGACTAAATAGTTTTCAGGAAAATATTATTAGAAGTATGGTTAATGAAATGGATATAAATTTATTGCCAGGAGAAAATTATAAGCAACAGGCGAGTGAATTTTTTTTTTAAGTATAGAATTTGTTTTATTTATATTTATTTAATTTTACTTTAGAGACTTTTATTTAACCATCAAGTACAAAAATTAAAGTTTGATTTGGATGCTTTAGAAATGTTTTCAATAAATTTAGAAACACTATTATCTGTAAGTCAAATGAATTAAACTTTAATGTTCTTAGTTTGTTATAGACAGTGTGTTCACAATATGAGATTTCAGTATATCATTTAATATTTCAGCTTATATCATAAGATCGGGGCGGTTAAATAGAATTCCAAACACCAACATTATGTCTCTTTTAATATGCGGATGAAAAATACAAGTTACTTTTTAAAAAAATTAAATTTTTTAGATTCAGATGATTTTTTTTTAACAATTTGTATAAAATGTTTGTTTCTACTTCAAAATTAACAAAGTTGAAGGAAGTTAAAATTCACAGATTATAAATAGTATTTGGAAGAAAACATGCTTAAAAACCCAGTCTATAATCTCCTCCCTGGAAATAAAAACCTCTTTATTTATATTTAAAATAATTTTCAAATATTTTAATAATATTATATACAATTACTTAAATATAATATATGATTAATGAAAAACAGTATGCTTAGTTTATTTTGCCTATATGAATGTTATAATCTATAAAAATACAAAGATGAATTATATTAAACTTACTTAAAGCACGAAAATACATTGTGTTAAAAAATGTTTACATAGTTAAAATTTCTGATATTTGATAGATCGGTTGGAAATTTAAAATATAAAAAACATAATTATTGATTGTTTACTGTATTCGTTATTAAGGGGCTTTTTTTACCATATTTTTATTTTGAAGCTATTTTTCTAGATTCGATTAAGTTAATTAGGTAGTTTGTGGGTACTCGTCTAATATGCTACCTACCATAAAATGGTATCTACCAAAAACTGTATGCGTGTAGTACCTATGCTACATACCGTAGTTATTTTTATTTCATTTCATTTTATTACAGGAAATTACATTTGAGTCATTAAATAACATATTATAGCAGTTTTACAAAATTATATCTTAATAGCCATTATGATATCTGATCCACCAAGACCCATGTTAACTTACTGTTAGATATATTATTTTAGTCTATATTGTGTCTGTGTTATGTTCGTGAAGTGTCCTATTCGTTACGAGTTTTACTTTTTATTTTTTTATTTTAAAATAAACAATAATCAATAAATCAATGCACTATTTGTACGGGCATATAATATTATGTAATGAGGAAACATATTGTGTTAATTATCTTCACAAGAGAAACTACCAGAACTTGGAAGTTGTTCCAAATTAAAATATGATGTTATTTGTAGCGGTACGTTGAAAGAATATCAAAAAAAATAATAAATTGTTGTTAATTTGTTCTTATTTTATGGTAGGTAGCATATTAGACGAGTACCAGTTTGTGTTCTAATACTTACAATATTATATTTTCTTCATAATTTAATGATATTGGAGATGTATAAAATGAACAAGATTAAAATATCGCTAAAAACAACAATAATTTATTAATTTTAATTTTATCAATTTTTGAAACAGAAAAAAAGATTAATTACATTGATTGAAAAGTATCCGTATTTGTGGAAAAATAATTTTGGTAAAGTCAAAAGTATAAAAAGTTTGGTATTTAATGTATATTATTTTTTTTTTAAATCAAATCAATTTTTTATACAAAAATAATAAACATAATATATATCAAAGCCTAAATTGTAATACTCTGATATTGGTACCCATTAAGTACTAAATTATTTGTTAATTTTGTCAAGTAAATCATTATATAATATATCATAATTATATGTCCTTAAACTTTTTGGTAGTCTCATAAAAATAGATTGTGGTTGCTATTAAAAACTAGTATCTAACTTTTATTACACAAGCGAGTACCGAAAGTTTTAAAACGACATGTTATTTCCTCTTGAGTAATTAACAGTATTTACCACCTTAAAGAAAACCCTGTGTACTATGTAAAATATTATGAGCGTAACTAATTCCACCACTAGGCGCTGATGCCTAGCTTTTTGCCATATAAATAAAAATACATTAAATGCTGTCTAACATCTAATAATCCCATTTCTTGCTTGTGAACACATTGTTTATTCAATATGTTAATTATTTGGAAAGTCAGTAGTGCCTATAATTCAAATTATATTGCAGAACAGTTATTTGTAATGTAATTTATGAACATTCCCTTTTACCATTGCCATAGTCTAAAAATACAAAATTTAGAAAATAAAAGCCGTTTTCCAGTTCTTAATTCATGATTTGGAGAAAACATACATTTTGAATGAATGAAATCAATTTTTATTTTCCAAAATACAGTACAAGAATTGTTAAATTTACGGTTTTCACATTATGATATCTAATGTTAATCCTATGAAATAAAAAACATGCTATTGTCGGGTTGCATGTCAAATGTATTAATTTAATGAGCCACTATATCTTGTTTAAGGTGCCATTTAATATTGATTCATTAAATGTTTGGTGATCATTCATGCAAACTGGCATATACTTGTTGAAATTATATTTAATATTTTTATTTGTTTTTATAATATTTTTCAATATGTTCATTGCGAACTACTATGCTCAAGTCAATTGCATATAGGTCAATGATTTTTGTAATAAAATTAGAAATATAATAAAAATATATGCAAGATAATATTGTCAATGGTGGGTTAATTTTGTTTCAAAGATGGCTTGTTCTTAGCAGTTCATGGCCTATAATGAGCTAAATTATAAAAAAATAAAAAATATTACATACAATTTAATTAATCATTCCTTATGAGTTATTACCTATTGGATTATCATTAGTTATCTATGAATAATTGTGAAAACCACATAATAATATTTAGCATTTGCTATATTTTTGAAAATATGATTAATTTTATAAAATKGCTATTCGTCATTTATTTAATTTTTATAAACATTAAAACCGCACTATAATATCTACATTATATTTTAAACTAGAGTTACTAACTTTCTTATTAATTAACATACTGTATAATATAGTACTTTGTATTTAAATATATAATGTATACATCTATATTATCACATAACATTTTGATATATAAATTGATTTTTTTCAGATATTATTAACTACTGCCAGTTACCTTCTTCTATTCAGCCAGTTAAATTTAACTTTATAGAGTTAATAAGTTTAATCTGAATCATTTTGTGTCAAATAATAATTAATATTTAACCCTTTCACTACTCTGAAGTACTATTACATCTAAAACATTTGTACCACTGATCTAGACATAAGGTCGGATTGGAAAATTTTGGCTGTATTATACTAAAAAGTGTAATATGAAATATAAGTACTATATATTTACAGCTTAAAATGTATAATTAAATTGTTAGTTAACAATTTAACAAACAATTTGGAAATTTGATTATGATCTGAACTTAAGTCATGTGAAGACTAATCCACAACTCATAAGTATTCTATTAGGACATAAACTATGAAAATAGCAACTAAATTGTTAGTTCAAGTTAAAGAAATTGCTTAATATCTTAAATATACATAATTTTGAATACCAAAGTGCACTTTTAGAACAGTGTGACCAAACATATGCATTTAGCATGCTGAAATCACTGCGAAAAACATATTATTGAACTCAGAGAAGTTTCAATATCTATCAGAAAGGATGCGAATTGACCAAAATACCAAATTATGTTAGGAGACACAAAATCCACTTTTTACAGTAGTCTCCACCACCATTACCCTCAATCTTAAACAAAAGATTCATGTACAAGGACACCGTCATCGGACTACTGGAGCTCATCAGACACAGTTAAGAATATTGGAGAACATTTGGAGTCAGATCATAGCACTACGTCTTAGTCTAAGCTATCAGTATTCAGTCAGATTGTAACACCACTCACCACTCTCTAATATCTTAGTATTGTATTTTTGTATTAAAATATATATTCAATAAATACACATTATATATATATATATTATGTCTTTATTTCCTGAGTTGATGCATATATCAACAAGTTGAATTATAACAAAATAATTAACAGTTTATAGAGAAAGATTTTTTTATTAATCTGTTTCAAAAATATTTACAATCTATACATAATGAAATAGTACAAATGTTCAACATATAATTTTTTTAAATATAATTTGAATTGACTTAAATTGCATGCAAAGTTGTACAACTGTTATATCCATAGAGTAAAAGGTAAAATAATAATTGATAATATTAGTGTATACTAAACATTATTAAATTAGAAAAAAGTTTTACAATTAAACTAAGTTGTTATACTTGTTGTTACCTTTAGTAGTAATTTATTAAGAAAATACATTTAATTGGTTTAATTTTAAAGGATGTTACCCCTGCAAGAGTTGTCTCCATTTTATACACGTACAACATAATACATAGCGACCTTTTTTAAACCTTTGTAAAATGATCTTAACTTATTTTCAAATAATAATAATATCGTTAAAATCCATAGATAATTATCATACATTTTAATTTTATAATAACTCAATGCACTCTAATACCAAAACTAACACACTATTGTAACTAGCGAGAATATTATATGTAGTATATGTGTAAGACGGAGGCAAGATGTGACGTATTCCTCTTAAAATAAAATAAATAGAATACATTATACAATATACAATAAACTGAATACAGTTGATATATTTAAGGTGTTTCCATGGAATACATTATTATGAAATAAATTATTAAATGTTATTTATTACCCAAGAACGATAAACCATGATAAAATAAAATAATAATAATAATCAATTATACAAAAGTTTCAATAGTTGAGTTATTTAATATAACTAAAATTGATTTGTCAAGCTAAATTTCAAAAATTTAGTTTTGAGTAGCTGCTATATAACTGGTATTTATATTTATTATTGACTAGAATAAAACCATAAGAAACTTTTTTGATACTTTCCATAATAAGATCACTAAAATAAAAATTCCAATAACAAATATAAACTTGATTAACAAAATTTCTGTAGGAACTTTAACTTCTTTAACTAATTTATTATTCAATAAATACACCATTTTACTTTCTTTTAATAATCTAAGTTTGGTTTCGTCATCCAGCTTTTCAGCCAAAGCGTTCATTTCATTCCGTAATTGATTCTTTGCCTCTCTTACATTAATGTCAAAGTAAAATGCTTCAGATCCTTTTCCATCTGAGAAAGCCATCCTTTGTTTAGCCATCAGAATTTGACCACCAGACAAAATTCCCATATACATATGATATATAAATGGCGACAATAATACATGATTTTCATTTTCTAAACATGATAAATAGTTGGAGTATTCAGCCATGGCTTTAGTTGTCCCAGAGTGCCATTTTTCTCCTAAATAATGTCGTAAGCTACTTTCAAATGGCTGTGTACGAAATAATCCATTAATTTGGCCAAATTTATGTAAATTATAATTTTTTTCTTTTTTCATTGCAATCTCTAGATACTGATATACAACATAAAATCGTCGTAATCCTTCTACCCATACTTTGCTATCGGTCATACCTGAAATGTAAAATCATTATTTGTGGTTATTACTGAAGAAGATTTCACCTTTATTTCTAGCTAATACTTGAAGTAAAATAAACCTTAAGATTGCCTATGATGGATTAATGACAGTTGGTTTAAGATATAAGAAAGAAAGAACTAAGGGTAACTAAATAAATAAAATTCATATTAATTATTATCATTTCTTATTTTTTACTGAACTAATAGAAGTAGGTTCAGATTAATACAATTTTTTATTGGTCTACAAGAGCATTTCATTAAATTTAAAATTTACCAGTGCATAATTTTTAATACTATCTCACTCATATATTTAATGATGGGMCTTAGGCATCAATATATTAAGAGCACATAAATTATACTGAACAAACATTTATCATATTCTACAAGTTAAGCATCCTCTTGACATTTAAAAATCTTTAAAAATTAAGAAGTGTGGAATAAAATGGCAAGTTACATTAAATGTTGTAGACTGTAGTTATTAGTTACCACTATTTTTGATACTTATTCAAACATTCATAAAATCCTTTAATGTGTATCCTATTTAGCAATTGTGATGTAGTTTGGCACCAAGTCTTGGTTTACCAACATCATTAAATTTAATAGTGATCCTTTCAAAGGTGTAAATTAAGTTGTAACTCATTAATAATTAGAATGATTACAAATGATTGATGGAATTGGAAACTATAAAGTAATGTTTTTTTGGGTACACCTAAGGGCAACAAAATCTAATTAGATGTGTTGGAAAATAGAGCTTAAATAAAATATTGAAGCAGATATTAAATAGAATATAATAACTCCTTATATGACGATTTAAAACTAAATGTATTACCAATGGTCATTTTTGCATTAATTAAGGCATCACTAATTCGATGTTCTTTCCTTGTAGCCTTTCTCATTCGCTCGGTGAACTTGATTTCTTCAACTGCTGAAGATGGTGGGTTTTTATTATTTTCATTATTTTCCGCCTCAGTTAACATAATTATCAAATCGTCTATTTTACAAAATAGATAGGGTTTAGCTAAATCAGAAATGCTGGATTTTATTGGAAAACAATTATTGATACATCATACAATCATAGATATTTAGTACTAGACATTTTTATAACAAGTTAGAATTTTTATATTATAATAGGTGGTAACACGGAATTATTACAGAATACAGAATAGAAGAATAGTAAGTTCTGTGATAATAATTGTTAAAATCACAAAATAAATTAATACAATGTATTCTTTGCTATTATCACGATTATAGATAATATTTTATCTTTAATAAGCTGGGCTCAGTGAGTTGTAGTACAGCGGCCATACTGGCCCTATATAATAAAAAAAAATTGTATCATCTATGTGTACTGTATAGTGTGTGTACAGCGCTCTGCTAACTTCTACTTACTACTTAGGTTAGGTTTCCTGAAGCAAAATATTTCGAAAGTTACCCTGTGATCTTAATTCATCATGAATAAAAAAATTGATGGGTTAGATCGGAATTCAGTCAAAATATCCAAATCAAAATAATTTTTTCTATAATGATTTTTCGTCGATATGTAAGATGTAACGAGTAGGTATTGACATATACCTAATACCTAATAATCTAATTATATATAATATAATATAGGTACCTATAATAGTTATTTTAATAATATTTAATACAAATTATAATATCATATATAGGTATAGTCAGTGTCGGCCTGGTACTTAAAGGGCCCCGGATGCATTTCTTCTGAAGGGCCCCCAAACATGTAATGAAATAAAAATGATAAAAAATGCTTATAAGTAGTGAAATATTATATTTTTAGTAATATCGGGGCCCCTCGACACAAATACGGCCGGGGGCCCCGGATGCGTTCGCGGCCTAGCGGCCATGGCCAGGCCGACACTGGGTATAGTATATGTATATAGTACGATATAGGTAGGTACCTATATAATATTGCAAAGTACGTAATATTATAATCCTAGTAAAAACTGTTGGGAAAAATTAGTGTAAGATCTGAGAAAAAAATTGTTGCGATATTTAATATTTTACTCACCTTCAATTTCCGACGAAAGTGATTAAATAATAAATACAAAATTATTATTTTAAATTCTGAGCGGAACGATTATTGTATTTCATATCGATTTTACAATGGTTTTTTCTTTTTATGTCTATAAAGTGGGTACCTATAGAAGAAAAAAATCTTTCGAGTTTTGCTTTCACTACCATTAGTATCTTTTCTGGTAGGAAACTGAATCTAGTTGATTCCTTGGAAGTTGGAAGATCGAAGGTAAAAATTTCTGGTTAGTTTTCATAAGTGGTCCGCAGAATAACAAAATCAAAATAAGGGAACACGAAACTTTGTATAGGTACGCAAAACTAGTTTTTGTTTAGTAGGTGGTTTGCATTTTTATATCATCCAAAATCCTGTAATGATAGCCATTCACAATATTAGCTCCGACATATTATGTAGGTACACCCATAGATATTAAAGAATTAATTGACCATTTATGCTTGTCATACAGGAATAAACATTAAAATATTTTGATGTTATAGAGGTTTTAACATAAATATAATTATTGTGCGTAATTTTAATTAATTTATGTTAAGATCTCAGTCARAATGAGAGGCAAGGCAATGATAAAAAACAGCTTTTCTYACTTCCTCATTCCGGCATACTACCCTCTATTTTATTAATATAGCCATGGCCTGATATCCATTGTTTAATAACTATGGGTACACCTATAATAATTGAACTACACGTAGATATTATATATAGCCATATAGGTATATTACAGAAACATTTCGTTATAACTTCCGTGTAAATAAAAGCCAAGTTAAAAATWAATAATTGTAATAATGATTAAATCTTTAAAAGACGTGATATAACCAGTTCTGTAGTACTAAAAAAGCAGAGGGTATACTATGAGTTATAATATTAAACATTCATACTATCATTAGATATGACTTTGGTAGAGGATAAATAACACAATACACATATCATATTTTCGGCTTTGTTACAGAACTAAATACGGGCTTTTCTTAAATAGCTTTTAAAAAATTTTCTATAATTTATATTGAAGTAATTATTTTAGATTATACACCGGGTCCCAGTACCATAATGGGTCTTTCTGAACCCCCCTTTTTAGGGTCCCTGCCTATGTCGACAAATAAGATTAATTTTAATGTTAAATACTTAGTCAACATATTATTGTTTATACATGTATAATGCATTATTAATTGCGAAAAATGGGAGTGGTTACTTATTTGTATTTATTATTTAAGTTTACTTCTACAGTTCTGTGTCCTGCCAAGTTTTGTCATTGTAGACTGTAGTTATTTGTAAAATTCTAAAATGKCATTTTACTTAGTTTTTATATCACGTCTTTAAAAGATTTAATCATTACTAAATGTATTTATTTTTATTTTAGCTTTTATTTACACGAAGTAATAGCGAAGTGCAGTTTTTGTGTGATATCAGCTATTTTTTATACAAAATTAATCGAGATTTTATTTAACTGTTTAAAACTTAAACTAACTGTTTAACTATATATAACTGTATAAGATTAATAAGATTAATAATCCAGCTAGTGTCGTAGGCGTTCTGTTGTTATATCTTACATTTTAGMTTTTTTTTTCCATAACTTTAATGTAAACATATTTTCGTAGCCTAATGGCCAATGGTAGGGAAACATAGGCGCAATTTCAACTTTTGACTTGGGGGGGCTGAATATATTAAAAGAAAAGCAGACATTTAAAATATAGAATTTTAAAATTGTATGTCCTAGATTTAATTAATTTTTTTTTTTTGGGGTGGGGGCTAATCCCACCTCAATTTGAGCCTATGGAGCGGGAAATTGGAAAATCCCCCCTAAGAACAGTCGAGATATTCGTGTGTAAATTGTAAAATCGATTTTGTATAGGTACCATACTATATAAGTCCAAAAAGGTTTAAGGAGAGTTGTGTAAATTATAGTAGTTTTAGACTAGTATTATTTTTCGATATTAGAAGACTCATAGAAAATAAATTAAGATAGATTGGACATGTGATGAGG